AGTGTGCATGAGTGCATTTTGAGTGCACGAGTGTGTGTGTGCAAGTATGTGCACGTGAGTGAGTGCAAGTGCATGAGCAGGTGTGAACGTGTGAGTGCATGAGTGTGTGCGTGAGTGTGCATGAATGTGCATGTGCATACGTGAGTGAGCGTGCATTTGTGTGAGCGTGTGAGAGCACGTGTACGTGTGCGTGAGTGCGTGCAAGTGTGTGTGTGTGAGAGTGCGTGTGCGTGCACAAACCATTTACTAATGGCTGTAGTAGCTATGACAGACAGGCTACTCCTGGTGCACGAGAACTGGGGGCATGAGGCAATTATGACCAGTGTTTCTCTGTGATCAGAAACCTGCGTGTGCCTACTGAGATTGTTCCGTGTCCGTATGGGGGATGAAGATTCTACAAGGTGGAATGGGGCAGGAGAGGGACAGAAAAGTCCTTGGGTGTCAGGTTAGCACCGAGGGCTTTGGAATGGAACCCATCCCGGCTGTGTGTCCTGGTAACCACGTGACCTGGGGCAGGTGTTTTAGCCTCGGCTTCCTCACCAGGCCCTGCCCGTGGGAGAACATGTGTGTGAGGCCCTGTACCAGCAGGGTGGTAAAGGGCAGATGTAAGCGGGTGGGACCCAGGGCACAGAGGTGACATGAGGACCTGCCCGCTGGCACTTGTGTCCCGCGAGCACGCGTGGTCAGGGACGCGGGTCAGTACTCACTGATTTTGCAGGGAGGCATTGCTTCCAGGCACTCCTTGTGTGCCCCAACGCCACACTTGGTACACAGGTAGCCCTGGTAGAAGGTGCCCCTGCGCAGGGGGAGGGTGGGAGGTGAGGCTGGGTCGTGACAGCTCCTCACACCGCTCAGCCCAGCCGTGGTCAGGGCCCCTGTCCCCACCCCTCAGCCGGCCCTCCTGGCTGCCCGCGCCACAGAGCATGTGTCCCTCAAGGCCCTGAGCTTCCAGGATCCTCCTTCACAGGGTGGCCTGGCACCTGCTCTCTCCTCTGACCTCCCCCAGCCTGGCTCCACCACCC